CACACAGTTCCTCTGCTCGGGCTCAGCGCTCAAGGGAGCCCTTCAGCTGGGCACCTTGGCTGCCATGGAAGGAGGGGTGGTGGCCACAGAATGCCAGCTTTTCACTCCCACCTCCCAGGGCCACTGAATGGGCCCCTCACTTGCCTTCACAAGGAGGGTGTGAGGACCCGCTAATTAGCACACACACAATGTTTGGCAAAGCCGAGCCCAGATAAGGGCATGAGACAGCCGTCATTTTGTCTAGGTGACAACACAAGACCACCCATTTTCCAGAAGACAATTAAACCTGTTTCTCGGATCATAAATGTTGACAATTACAGTCACCAGAAAGATTTGGTACAGTTTATTCTTAGACCTGGGTTTAGGCACTGCTTTTGAGCTGTGCTCTCCTCCTTCTCTCCCAGGGAGTGGCAGTAGGGGAGAGGTGGTGTTGTGTAGCTCAGACAAACTGCAATTTGGGGTGTGCATGTGTGTGCGTGTGTGTGTGAGAGAGAGAGAGATTTTCCACACTAAAGCCAGTGTTCCCAACCCCCCATCCTCTGGGAGGGGGGCTGGTCTTCTTAATAACCCTCCCCCATAGAACTCAGAAGATGTAGACGGGAGAATTTGCTTCACTTCCCTCCCTCCAGTTAGAGGGCTGCTTGACTCAAATATCTCCATCTTGGCAATTTCCTGCACACAGTTTCCATTAAATGACAAGCTTGGATGACTGCTTCAAACATCCTGCCTCGAAGAACTTCATTTAAAAAAGCATAAAAACTTTGCCTGGACTGAAAACTCTGTAGGCGACAAGGGAAAGGGGATAATGATTTTAGTTTACAGCTTCAGATATGGTGAGAGCTTGTTCGTTCTCCTTTGTTGCTCTTTGATGTTAGTTGGAAAGCGGGTGTGAGCTGTTTTGCGCACCAGGCCGAGTCCACACGGGAAGCGGGGGATCTGGGGGTGGGATTGATGGGTGAACTGTGGCATGTGAAAGAAACTGTGCCCTGACTGACTGAATCCTGTGCAAGGTTCGTTCAGAAAAGTCATTTCCTTCAATCACTCAGATCAAAAAGCAATTATCTTTGGAACGCCCACCCTCCCATTCATAAAAGCACAGACTTTGCTTTCACACAGCAGCTTACCTTGGCTTCTCCCTTTCAGGAGTATACTGACTTCTCCCTTTATACCTAAAATGGCTGTGTTGGCAGAAGAGGTGAAAAAACAGTATGCCCTAGGCCGGCAGCAAATTAAAACAACCCCAGAAAAATACGGGTCTGCATCCTCCATTGATCGATGAGCACTTGTTTTTGCGACTGGCTTGATATTAGCTAGAGAACATGCGTTTAAAAAAATCCACCAAGCAAATGCTTTGGAATTTGATTCCCGTCTAAGAGGAAACCTTCACTGAAAGACTAACTGTACATTTCGAATGTGGTTTAAAACCCACCGTCTGGGGCTTCCCTGGTGGCGCAGTGGTTGGGAGTCCGCCTGCCGATGCAGGGGACACGGGTTCGTGCCCCAGTCCGGGAAGATCCCACATGCCGTGGAGCGGCTGGGCCCGTGAGCCGTGGCCACTGAGCCTGTGCGTCCGGAGCCTGTGCTCCGGAACGGGAGAGGCCACAGCAGTGAGAGGCCCGTGTACCGCAAAAAACAAAACAAAACAAAACAAACCCACCGTCTGTCCAGGAGTGATGGCACATCAGCGGAAATCTAAGATCTTGTCTTCAAAATGAGGTAGGTTCTGACACTTCCACCCCCTCCCCAGGTTGAGGTCTCCTTCACCTTTAATCAATTAGTCACAACTGCCTGGTGTTGAAAGGTGCTCCTGTCCTCATGCCCTAATGGAAAATAAGCAAATTTCTAAACTCCTAACCTGAGCTAAGGCTGACGACCAGACTCTTCGTTTCCCCAGCTTGGGACCCAAGGAGTGGTAAATTCAAGCTGAGAGTTAGCCAGCAAACATTGCTATAGTCGTAGCTATTATAAAGCAGTGTAATATTTCTCCATTGGCTGGTAAATCACTGTGCTGTGAGCCCCTTGGGTATCCCTCCCTTGCCCTCCTCTGGGACTGCCTGGACCACCCCCCAGGATGTAGCAGCCAAATGGCTAACACCTGGTGTAGCTGGGCCTTCAGGGCAACTGGCTTGGTTCTTGGAACCCCCTGTCCTCCCAGTTGTGAACTAATTTGAATAGCACCCCTGCCTTGCGTTCTTCATGTTGAAAATGACTGATCATACATCTACCTTCAAGATCTCATGAAAACTCTTAAATTTTAGGGTGACGTCAATAGTCCTTTGCTTCTTGGGTAGAGAAAGAGCCGCTAATTAGACATTACTCCTAGGAATTTGTCTCAGTTGATACACTTAGCTTCTTTCCTCTTGTTCAGCTGGGGTTTGATCCCTAGGGATGCAGGCATTTATTCAACAATTTAGACCAGTTAATTAAAACCTCATGGCCTCTGTAAATACAATTCTTCCTCTGCAGCACCAGAACACTCGGTATGCATGCATGGTAGGAGAATTAGAAAAAGCACAAAAGTATAGAAAAAAATGGAGGTGGACCATCCCTTTATATTGCTGGGGGCCTTCCAAGTGGAGGCAAACTGTGAAGCATGAGGAAGGCCCCAGAGTGGCTGTGACCGTGGACTTGTTACCTCAGCCCAACTCTGGCCAAACGCTCGCACCACTTGGAGCTGGAGGTCAAGTCTTTTCAGGGGCTTTCCTCGCTGAATTCTCCTCATGGAAAGCATAGGGTCTGCTGGCTGCGCAGATGACTCTCTTTCCTCAGGACCATGCTCTACAGTGCTGAGGCTTGCTGCTCTGTTTGTGTATGTTTGCATATTTGAATAAATATATAGTGTGTAGGACAAGCTATTCTAAGCCTTGAGAACATTTTTAAACATTGAAAGTTAAGAGACTTTGAAGTTAAGTAAGTAAATAATAACAATAAGGGAGTGGTTATGGTATTTGGGGGATATATATGCTTCCACTGTCACATGAATAGGAGGGAATATTAGAGGCAGAGCAAAACTTGGTCCTAAATGAGCTTGGTTCATTGCTGGTCCACCAGCCAAACCAAAGGGCAAGGCTGTTAGAACAATTAGGCACAGTGTTTTTAAGCTTGGGAAGTTTAGAAATTCTTTCAAAGAAAATTTTTCAAAGAAAAAAAATCCTCTGGAGTCCCAGTATTAATCTAGAATAGTGTTATTTATATATGTAAAACAAAAGGGAGACATTAACTCCTGCTTAAAGCTCTTATACAATTCTAAAAAGAAACTGATAAATTAAGTAAAAATAAAAGTAAATGTAAAGAAAATTTAAATTCACACCATTAATTCATACTGACAGAGGAGATTTTGCTGAGCACGTAATGCCTCTCGCCATGGAATATGGCATTGTCCACTATAATACACGTTCTTTTGAGTTCAGTGTTTCTCTACCACTGTGAGCTTTTGGGAGTGACTCAATTCTCCCACTCCTTTTCTCCATTCACACTCTTAAAAATCCACCACCATATAGCATATTGTGATAGCATTTGTACTTCACTAAATGTGAACACAACATTTATGTACCCAGCCTCCTTTTTTTTCCCCTCTTAGCTCTGAAGTTCAAGTAGTATTGGTTACTGTGTGGCTATAAATACACAGGCAAACACAAACCTTGAAATCATAAGGCATTTTTTGGTAATAAGTAAAATAGTGACTAACATTTATAAAGTCCTTACTGTGTACCAGACACTGCTCCAAGTGCTTTATATGTTTCAATCCATGTAACACTTACTGCTACCCTATGAAGTAGCCTTATTGTACAGCCAGTAAAGGCAAAGTCGGGATGTAAACACATGCAGTCTGCTTAACCACTACGTTCCACAGCCTCTCAAAGGTAACCATAACCCACAATATGCTTATATTAATTTTTCATGAAATATAATAAAAATGCAGCACAAAAGTTTCTCCCAGAGAGCTCTAGGACCTCTGAGAAATCATCTGTGAGCCCCAGTTTAAGAAACAGTCATTTAATTCTCTACTCTCGAGCTCTTTACTATTTCTAGACATCATTACAATATAATGCTCTTTAATTCTTTAATGTATAAAAATATGTCCTGATTCTATCCATGATTACCTTGGTTAACCATCAAGGCTACAGCGCTGCGTTAATTAATTAGTATAAAAGCCCTGCTAGTAATAGAGGTGATAAAAGGAGTGACATGTAGACACATTAAAATGTACTTATCTACATAGTCCTAACAAGGGTGAGATATTATAGATAAGCATGGGTTTAGTCTCATTGCCTTTTTAAAAAATTTTATTTATTGATTGATTGATTTTTGGCTGCATTGCGTCTTCGTTGCTGAGCGCAGGCTTTCTCTAGTTGCGGCGAGCGGGGGCTCCTCTTCGTTGCGGTGCGTGGGCTTCTTATTGCTGTGGTTTCTCTTGTTGCAGAGCATGGGCTCTAGGCGCACAGGCTTCAGTAGTTGCAGCACGTGGGCTCAGTTGTTGTGGCTCACGGGCTCGGTGTTTGTGGCACAGAGGCTTAGTTGCTCCACGGCATGTGGGATCTTTCCACACCAGGGATCAAACCCATGTCCCCTGCATTGGCAGGCGGATTCTTAACCACTGTGCCACCAGGGAAGTCCCAGTCTCATTGCCTTTGATAGGAATGGTGATGAGGGCGAGTGCTCTGGGATGAGTGGTACTAAACTCTGAGAGATACCATGACAGGGGTAGTTGGCTGAAATCTTGAAAGGGAAAGCTGGGAGCAGAAATCCACCCACACCAACTCTGCTCTGGGGGTGGCAGCTGGCAGAAAATTCTGGAGACAGTGATCCGAAGTTGTAATTAATCTGGACATTAATGGAAGATTTTAAGAAACCTGGGAGTAGCAGAGTGGGAAGGTTAAAGAAACAGGCATAGAAGATCACCTTAGCCTTTTGTCCTTGGTTTATATTTGTAACCTAAATACTGCATCCAGGTGGGTATTAGTTCAAGTTTATTTCTCACTTGTCTGTGTCTTCAACAGGTTCATCTGTGTCATTGCTGTCTGCTGCCTTAGATCATGAATGAAGACAAACTGAGGAGTATGTTGAACCTATTCCACCCATCACAATACCATCAAAAGACACACTAAAGCACTTTTGAATGATGAATCAGACTTATTTATTGACCACCTACTATGTGCAAAGCCCTCTGCTAGCTGTGAATGGATGAAAGCATGAGTTACCTAAGGTTCCTGCTGTCAAGTAAGTTCCCAGAGCAAGATAATAAATGGCGCGTGTAAACAGAGCAGGTTGTAAGGCCAGCCATTCATAGCATGGTGGCTGGGCTCTTGGGTTGTAGACTGGAACCACTTCCACTATCAGCTCTAACCACTGGCTGGGTGCCTTTGGGCAAGCTGACCAACCTCGTTTTTCTCATCTGTAAATGGAGATGATGATAATCATAGTACCCATATCATAGGGCTGTTGTGACGACTCGAGATGACGCCTGTACAATGCTTAATACGTTTGCTGTGCACACCCTAGTTTATCAAACGGGAACCTGCAGCCTCTGAGGCTCTGCTAACGATGACCACGTCTGCGCAAGGGTGTGGTTTGGATTTGGTCCGAGTCACCGCAGCATGACCTTGTATTGCAAGGGGAGGAGAGGCGCTTGGGACAGGCAGCCTTGGTTTGGTGGTGCCTGGGGGTCAGTGTCTGTGTCTACCACTGCCCTCTACTGGAGACAGTGAGCACAACAGATGTCTAAGGAACACCCAACCTACCTTGGTATTCTCTTGTTCCAACACCCTGTGTTTATAAAGAAAAGTCTCCTTTGTTGAGAGCTTTACAGCCCATCTGAGCTAATTGTTCCTTCTTTCCGATACTTAAGAGCGAGAGCAAATTCTGTTGTCTGCCAGCCTCAGCTCCTCACTTGCTTTTAACTAATGTGGAGTCTGGGCGGGTATTGATTTTTCTGCTTTTCTCTGACTGCGCTCACCAGTCATTTCATATTGCTGGAGAGTCCATTAGCAACAAAACGTAAAGGACGGGCGCTACACAGCCATTAGAGAAACTCACTCTCTGTACCTTTGAGGTGAGGGAGACAATGAAAAGCACGTCATCTTATAAACATTCTAATAGAATTATTAGAAAAGTGAATAAACCCAGGATGTGATTATCAAGGGATGAAATGAAATCCTCCTTAGAAGTCAACTGGAAGGGAGTGCCCCGACGTTCCGCAATGTTGTAGTAGGCATGGAGCTCAAATGCTGTACGTGGGTGAGATGAAAAGAAGATTAGCTGCTAGAATAAAGGAACATTACACAACAGAGATTCAGCCGTAGGCTCACACATGAATGAATTTCGGAGCTATGATGGCAGAGCTAAGAGGAGAGAAAGGAGGAGGTGAAATGGAAAGGGAAGAGGTGACTTTGAAATTTAGTAAGTTGGGGAAACAAAGCCATGTCTCCAATCTTGTCCAATTGTACAAGATGGTTACTGAAATTCACTGAATTCTCCATTGGGAGCTGAGAGGGGGTGAACAAAGCAGGGACAGACTCTGTGGATTTTGATACTTGTTGACTGGAGAATGTAAGAAGATGCATCCCTCGGGGGGTGCGCACCATTGTGTGTAAGTGACCGGCAGCATTCTTGGCACGTGTCGGTCCTCAAAATATGTGAATTCCCTTGCTCCTCCCTGTAAGCTGGAGAGTGTGTAGAATCAATAGTGAATATTATGAATATAGTGAATATCAGGCTGCATTTAACTTAATTTCCTTTTATTTTCATGGCTTCCAAGAGTAAACAGTTTTCACACTAAGGGTTATTTGGACATTTATTCTCTCTAGATGAGCATTAAGGATATATTCAGTTGTCTGACCCTCTTTGGTCCAGAAAGCAATAAACACTTCCACAAAACCCTGCTATAGGTGGCAAAATTTATGTTTTGTTTTCTCATCCTTACACAGACAGCAAACGGTTTGGCATTATATGAGGTTTTTCTACCTATCGTAAAGTTGCTCTGTAGTATGTTTTTCTTTTCCCTTCCTGATTGTAATTTATTGTCTATAAAGAGTATGACAAAAATACTGGGAATAATTTTAAAAATTCACAATTCTACTTCTCTAACATTTGAAGTATTTATATTTTCCATGCACTTTCCAACTTTACCCTTATGCATATTTACTTTTTACATAGAATCTTGCATTTTGTTTTTTCACTTGATGCTATTTTATATACATTTTAATGTGGTGTCATGGCAGTCATAATTATAATATTTAATGGTTGCAAAATATTCCGTTAAGTTTATGGCTCATAATTTTCCGAGTCAATTCTCTATCAGAGGCATGAAAGGTTTTTTGCTATCTGGTTTGTTTTACCATTATAAGTAATATCATCATAGTTACATAAGTAGGTTTTTTTCCCTCCACTTGAATTATTTCCTCTGAATAAATTCTCAGGAGTCGGGTTATTGTTCTCGAGGTGCACCTCCAATTATTTTTCTAAAAGGTTGTATTTTATTTTGTCAGAAGCAGTGAATGAGACTAATCTTGCTTATCCTCTTAACAACATTAGATGCCGCTGGCCAGATACTTTCTCCCCTAGGGCTCCCTGGCTGTCATCCTTTTCAGTTTTTCATGTACCTCTCTGTCTGTTCTTCCTTGGTCTTCTTTGGGGTCTCCTACACCCCTACCTTTTCCCTCAATGTTTGTGTCCACGGGGCTTAGGCCTGGGCTGTCCGCTCTTCTCATTTTTTACATTCCCTTTGGAACATCTTCTGCCCTGTACAGTGGGCTTTAATTACTGTATCATTAGTCACACCATGTTCCTGTACACCAGACTCATATATCCAAATGCCAAAAGGAATCCTGGTCTCCCAGTCCCCAGCCTTGTTCTTTCAAAACCTTTCTCCATACTATGCCAGAGTAATCTCCCAACACATAAGTTGGATCTTGTCACTTTCTGTGACAAAGACCCTTCAGTGGGTTTCTGTCGCTCTTAGGAAATAACAACCCCTGCCTGTTTCTGTCCATTCTGTGCTCCTGCCGTTTCCCTGTCTGCACGATGGCTTCCCTTTATCTCTGTGCCTGTCAGCACTCCTCTTCTTTCTCTTTGTCTGGCTGACCCCCGCTCATCCTTCACGTCTCAGAGAGGCCATTCCTGGGCGCTAGGTTTCTCTATTATATGTTCTCCAAACCCCTTTCCCAGTCATACTGCCTGCTGTGCTTTATTGAGGCCTGTTCCCAAGTGCATCAATTCCCCAGCGCCCCTGGCCTGCCCTGCGCAAAGCCAAGCACCCCCGAAGTCCAGACAAAGCTCCTGGCAGCGGGCACTTGCAGTAAGAGGCACTGGGTGTGCACAGGGCACGTGTGCCCCGAAGGCCTACGGATGAGGCACCAACAGCCTTGGCCCTCATCCACTGCTTACATTGCTCAAATTCACTCACGCTTCACATTAAATTCACTCTGGCCCATCACTGATTCTTCAAGGTGATGGCTTACTTCACACTCAGCTGGTTTTCTCTCAATTCCTTTAAATGAAAAAAAAAAAAAAAAAGATGTACAACAGGGAGGTTGGTTGGACAAACCACAGTCCCTGATGCTACCCTGAGGCATGATTGATGCTCATCTTTTCAGATGGCAGTTTTGCTGGTCTAGGTTGCTGGTCCTGTGGGGTAACCCTGAGATTCCCCCGCCGCCCAAGAATTCTGGTCTCTCCGGTGACCAGGTTTTTGTCAGGCTCTGATTGCATCTGGTTATTGTGCCTTTAAGGAATAAGAAGCACAAAGCTCCCAATAGGTCACTTAGATAAGTGACTTAGACCACTTAGATACGTAGGAAGAGGGGCCACTTCTGCCCCCTATTCAAAGTGTCCAAAGTATACTGTGCATCTTAAAGGAAGACTTTATGGCAAACCTGGCACATAATGTGGGCCCTGTAGAGGCCTTTCTGACCCTCCCCAGCTGGCGGCCTCCAGACTGTGCAGGGTATGAAAGGGACACTGGATCCTGAGGTCGTGGGCCAGCGTGGCACCTCCTTGGCTGTAAAGTGGGTCCCTGGGTCAGAGGAGATGTGTTGTGTGATCTCAAGTCTGCAAATCAGACACTCTGGAAGGTGTCAGATGGTAGGGCAGGCCAAGGCATTGTGGGCAGGAAGACGCACCCATATCAATCTCAGCAGGGACAAACTACTGCCCTACCCGACCCCAGGGGTGAAATCAGCTTTGGACTAAGTGGCTGGTTTTTCCCTCCAGGGACGGTATCATATCAGGTCCTCACGTCGGTTTCCACTGGTGACAGATCAGACACTCAGCAGCACGGCAGCCAGGTCAGCCTTGGTGCTTGATCTTTCCACCTCCTGCTAATCGCTCTCTTGTCACTCTCTTAGGTACCTGACCATAAGCAGGCAGAGACCTGTGTGTTAATGAGACGTCTCAAATGATCTTTATTCCCAAACTAGGTGCTCTCATCTCCAAAGCAGCTCTCTCTCTTCCAAGGGTCCTTTTCCCAGATGCACGTGGGATTCAAGCTGCCGGATCACATTGTGCTTCAAATAGGCTGGCCAGAAAAGATTTGTATCAAAGCAAAACTAAAACTAAAACATTTGGGGAAAGAGGTTGGACATCCTGCCCTGGAGGAACAAACTGCTGTGGATGGGTCAGAGGGGAGGGGCAGGTGCCCCGAGAACACAGTTCTATTTGGTCACTAGTCTGCTGAAATGCAGATATTTCTGAAGACCCATTTTGGCAAAAAAAAAAAAAAATCAATTAGCACACCTGTATTTCTCTGGTAATGCTTGTGTAATGCTTTGAAGCTGACAAGCACAGGAAAATTCTTATCTCCCCGCCTCCCCCATATTCCCAGTGCCTGACCCAGTGCCCTGCTGAAAGTCCTGAATAAATATATAGTTGTGGAATGAACAAATGAATGGACAAACAAATGGTATCTTTGGTAGATAAAGGATGCTTTATAGGAATCGTGTGAATTGCAAGTTTCTCCAACTCCTTGAACACAGGACTGGATTAGCAGAACTTGGTTTAGACGCAGCATTTCAAGGGCACACTTTCTGATAAAGGGAAGTATGGTTATACACGCATAATGCCTTTTCACAGTGTCTGAGTCACCTCACACCCCTTCACCTCATCTGATAACGGTCCTTGGCCGGATCTGCCCTTTTGCCGGGCGTTCGCCTGGGCTATCGCCTCTTGCCCCGCCCCCCCGGGTAAGCTACCACCGCAGGCACCGGGTTGCCAGGCGCCGGCATGCGAGCACCAAGCAGGAGGAAATGGGGGGACCGCGAGGGCACGTTTACAGCCGTGAAAGCTCCCGACGGTATGCCTTCGTGTGGATACCATGCACATTTTATTTTTTTTATGCTGACAGAAAGATATACCTGGGCAATAATGGAAAAGTTGACTACTAAGGTGATGGTGAAAAGGAAATAATTTGTTTTGATGAGACCTTGTCATTATATATGTTGGTTTAGCCCTCCTCTCCCAGCCACAAAGGTTATCTTCTACACTATTGTGGAGGAAGGTGAGGGCTGTGTTAGTGCTACAGCTGCCTCTCCCAGGCTGCCTGCTCTACATGCCCCGCCCCCAACTAGGAGACAACAGGAGTCCAACAGACGGGGTTCATCACAGCACCTCAGCTTTGACATAACAAGATTGTCTTTATCTTTAGCCAGATAAAAATATTTATCTGGGGCTCTCTTCCTCAGGAATCTCTCTAATTAAATAAAGCAAATCAGCAGAGGTCTGATAGAAGTTCATTTGGAAAATTGCTAAATAAAAGGTAAGCAAAACCCAGTATATTACGTGTTCCCTAAAAACCTGTGACTGAAGTCAAAGGCCTTGGTGTGTTTGGCTAAAGAGAGAAGATAACTTAGGTGTGCAACGGGAAGTCCACCTGTACTCCAGCGCTAGTTCTGTGAAGCTGTGTGAGCCTGGTAAGTCTTGTGGCCTTCCTGGGCCTTGGTCTCCTCCTCTGGTGAATGTGTGCTTTGGACTTTCTCTCCCTTTCTTTCTCTTTCCTTCTTTCTTTCTTCCTTCCCTCCTTCCTTCCTTCCTTCCTTCCTTTTTCTTCCCGCCTTTCTTCTGTCCTTCTTTCTTCTCTCTCTCTTTCTTTCTCTTAATATAGGAAATATGCCCTGTGAAAGCTGCTTTCCTAGTCTCACCAGTTAAAGAAGAGGGAGGCTTTTCTGTCGAGGAGGACCAAGAGTTTGGGAATATTCATTCCAGTCAGTTTTCTAAATAATCCTGTATTAATGATTATGAGAAACACTAACTAGAGTCTGAATACCTATTCTTTAAAGGATTCCTACAGACTCGACTTGAGATTCCCAACTGCAGAAAAAAATTATGCTAAATCATTTACCTTCCTGATGTGGCTCACCCAACGGCCAGCATTTCTCTGTACAAACTCCCTTCTGACAAGCCCTCAAAACTCAAACGAGAAAGAAAAGGCCATGGGAGGGAAGGTTTCCCTCGAGGGCATTTGAGGAGATTGCCGGAGCCGGATTAGAGGCACCACCTTATACTTCATTAATAGAAACAACGCAAAAGCCCAGCTCTAAGGCAGAGTAACCCACTTGTGAAATGGCAACCAATCCCTTCAGCTCCCAGAAGCCAGGTGGCCTCCTCTGGGCAGGGATCACCTCCGGTTTGCCCCGTTGTGGTGTCCAAAGATCACAGCCCCTCCCTCCACAACATAGAAAAGGATGGCAAGTGCTGTCCAAATCTCAACAGCTACACAAAAATGAGAATCTCCCTACCACCAAGCACAGTGCCAGGTATACAGCACGCACTCAATAAATATTTATTCCGTCAATGAAAGGATGCATGAATGAAATTCCTCATCTCTGTATCCCTGAGGATAACCCAGTTCTGGACATCTTTCGGATCCATTCAACTGAGTTATGGAAAAGGACCAAAAAAAAAAAAAAAGAAAAAGAAAAAACAGACAACACAAATGAAACCAGGAGCTGGCATAGGAAGTGTGATCTGATTCTGCTTCCCTGGTAATTAAGTGTGCCCGGTGGCTGCCAACTTAGACGATGACAGCGTGGGACTCGCCTGCCCACTGTGGGCGCGTGGGCGGATGCGCAGCCCTCAGGATGCTGTTGCAGGGCGAGTCATCTCTTTATCAAGATTACCACAGCCACGGAAGCTTTCTCACCCCGCCGGTGGGGGCATTCCCCAGCCACCCTGTCGTGGCCTCGCCCCTGCTGGCTGCCCTGTGCTGTCGGCCCCCTTCTTGGCTAACCACCTTCCTCTGGCTGTCCCCTGTTAGAGAGTCGTGCATCTTTCCTGAGCCTCCCTTGGTGTTTCAGCAGCCGCCCGTGTGTTTCCCCTGATCAGAGAGAGAAAGTTACCAGGGAGGCCCCAGCGGAAATCATTGTACCTGTTCTCCAGGATGGCATGGGCTTGACCTAGCCTGATTATTTCTGATTGCTGTCACTGGGCCTAGAGCACAGCTTAGGTCAAGAAAGGTATGACCCTGGGCTTCCCTGGTGGCGCAGTGGTTAAGAATCCACCTACCAGGGCAGGGAACACGGGTTCGAGCCCTAGTCCGGGAAGATCCCACATGCCACAGAGCAACTAAGCCTGTACACCACAGCTACTGAGCCTGTGCTCTAGAGCCCGCGAGCCACAACTACTGAGCCCGAGTGCCACAACTATTGAAGCCCACATGCCTACAGCCCATGCTCCGCAACAAGAGAAGCCACCCAATGAGAAGTCCGTCCTCCGCCAGCTGGGACGGCAGGATGGCAGGCCTGCAGGCCTGCCTCCGCACTGTCCCCCTCTGGGCTGTCCCTGCCTCAGGAGAGCTGAGACTGCAGAGCAGGAGAGGAGCCTCAGATAAGAAAGTATGGAACGGGGTCCCCCTGTGCGTCAGGTTTGACTAGGAAGCACCTCTATCCTTCTTGGCTGGGCCTCCCACACTTCCTCTGCGGAGGGTGTCCAGCCCTTGGCACTTAGCTAAGGGGAAGGGGCTTAGGATTAATGGGGTCGCACGTCTAAGGCTCGGTTCCAGACTGGGGTCACTATTTCCAGCTCTCTGCCCTCCCGACCTGTGGCAGGACTGTATTCCCAGACCCCTTGGGGCGGGGCCCGGGGGAGGGTGCGAGTGACTCTTCCAGTCAATGACTGTGCATGTGCGTGAAGGTGATTGATGCGTGTGTGACTTCCAGACTGAAGTATTTAAACGCCACTGTGAGGATCTCCGCAGTTCTCCTTCCCTCGACCATGGATACAGGGTGGCTGCTCTTCTAGCCTGGATCCCAGGGAAAGGAATGGAGGATCGAGCCTCAGCCAACCGCGGATGAATAGGTAGTGTGAGTGAGAAATGCACCTGTTTTTCAGTCGCTGAGCTATTGGGGTTGTTACTGCAGCATGAACTAGCCTATGCTGACTGAAGCACAAGGTTTAGCCCTCTCCCCCTTGACCATAATAGCAGGGGTGTCCCAGTGTGTGAGCAAGGGCAGTATTTGTCCGAAGAGGGGCCGTCAGGCTCCTGGTGTGGCACTGGGCTCACTGAGCAGTGGGGAACTTGTGAGTATGTGTTAAACCAGCCCACTGGCTGGGTTGGGTTTTGAAGACTCCCAAGGCTCAGAGGTCAATGCCAGGGCAGCCATAGAGACTGACCTAGTGCACTGGGATGACCCAGGAGGCCTGGGCGTGGGGGCGCAGGCTCCCCGAAGCCTCCTTAGTGCTTTGCTGTGCATGCCCTGGGTTGTTTGGCCCCCTTGTGTAGTTTGAGCAGGAGGCATGGGGTTGCTGCTTGTGTGTTGGGAGAGGAGGTGGAGAGGCAAGAAGAGGCGGGAAGCCATTTGCATGTAGCCTCCCTGAAGGTGGTCAGTTTGGCTAGCCAGGCATAGCTGCCCTGGGGCACAACTTCCCCTCCCTGCCCGCCTTTCCTTCCTTCCTTCTTTCCTTGTTTTACTCAAGAAATACTAATTGAGCACGCCCCACGTCCCAGGCATTGTGCTAGGTCCTGGAGATACAGTGGTGAGTAACATCATCATGGTCTTGACCATGGCATAGCTTGGTCATCCTCACAGATATGAGGCCAGTGATGTTGGCCGCAGAAGCATCCCATCATATTCCCGACAGGGGCTAAGGAGTGTTCCCCAATAATCATGTGCACGTGTCACGTCAGAACCACGTCGCACACAAGCAGACCCCACTTAGGGGTTCTTTTCTGTCCTAATAACTTTCATCTCCAGGTAGTTATTTTTTCCCCTCAAAGGAATTGTCACCAAACTCAGGTCTGGCTGCTTGCTGCTCGAAAGCCAATACTCGAGAGACAAGTGTTGGTAGGAAAGGAAAGTTTGTTTTATTCAGGAGCCCAGCAATCTGGGGAGAAGGTGGACTCATGTCCAAAAGCCAACTCCCCCCTATGCTTCAGGGGGCAAAAGCTTTTAAAGGGGAGTTTTAGGGGTGTATAGGTGGAGAGAGGGGCTACAGGCAGAACAGCGCAGTCAGCTCTGACAGTCATCTTGAAATTGGTCATGCCGTGGTCTGATCAGCAACATCTTGAGGTTTTTGTTTGTTTGTTTGGTTGGTTGGTTTTTTGCGGTACGCGGGCCTCTCACTGTTGTGGCCCCTCCCATTGTGGATCACAGGCCCCGAACACGCAGGGCCCAGCCGCTCCGCGGCATGTGGGATCCTCCCAGACCGGGGCACGAACCCGTGTCCCCTACATCAGCAGGCGGACTCTCAACCACTGAGTCACCAGGGAAGCCCCGATGGTTTTAAGTACAGTTAGTCTTTGGTTCCAGGATCGGTTTTCTCCTTGAAGCCAGTTCTCAGAATTGTGGCAGCTATGTCATGGCTACAATCTGGTCATCACGCAGTTAACTTCTTCCACCTCGTGCGGGTTTTAGTATCTGCAAAACAGCTCAAAGGACGTGGCTCAGAATATTATCTATAGCCCTTGAGGAGGAACTAAATGTCCTTGACTTTGTTTGATGGCTCAACTATTATCATTTTGTCTTATTTGACTGTTTCCCTTTGCTTCTGTATTTTCTCACTTCTCTGATTAAATTTATTCTTTAACTGAAGGTTTTCTACAGACAAGAGGCAGGCAGAGGACCTGGGGAGGTCTGTCCCGTTAAGGCCCCTTAGGGTCCTGCTGCATTACAACATCACCTCTTGTGATCCCTGCTCGTCTGTTTTCACACTGTTTTCTTCACGTTCCTTCCCTCGTATTTACCTACTGCTCTCTCTTCTGCCTTTTTTTTTAAATTCATTTCAGTAGGCAGCCCGTTTCTGACTGACACGTCTCTGCAATCTCTGCCACATCCTCCTGTCCTCAGCTTTTCAATCTCCTTGGACCTTATTCTTCACTACATCCTAATGGAATCCACAGCCCACTCTCTTGGTGGCTGGCTACCTTCAGCTCATCTAGCCTCTTGGATGTCTTGCTGTCATCCTCCCTCTGCCCGTGTTCAGAGAGGGGAGCTGGGCAGTGGCAGGCATCTCTTCAAAACTGCCATCCTGCTTTGTGTTACAAGCCTGCATTATTAACGAGACCTCCTTGACATTGAATGTTCAAGATGAGACTGCTACAGGAAAGGGCGGCAGCTTCTGGGTCTGGCCCAAGTCTCACAGCTGGAAACAAGGGAGGATCTTATCTCTGCTCCTTGAATTTGGCCTAGAGTTTGATGCAATGTGTAATACGATCCTCCCAGCCTACTCACTGGCTCCCCAGAGGCTCCCAGACTTGCCTCACTTGGCTCTCTCTCGTTCTCCTCTGCCTCTGCCAGGGCACCTCCACTAACAGGTGTTATTTCATAGAGGCTATGACAGATGGCCTCGGCTTGCATTCTGGCCCTGGCGCTTACTAGGCTGTGTGATCTTCTGTGTATTATTTAACTTCTCTGTGCCTAAATTTTTTCTTCAGTAAAGGCACATTAAGTAGCATGTACCTAGTTCGCAGAGTGTTGGTGATAAGATGATCTAAATAATGTTCTGGCCCCTGGTTAGCGGAAGCCCCAGGACTGCACCTCGGCCCACAGTCTCCTGTGCTTTCTCCCTCACCCCAGGCTCTCACTCGTGAGTCTGCCTCGCAGAGTAAAACACTCAAAGATGTGAGTTTGTTGCATGTTGTAAAAGCAGCTGTCACGACTTCTCTCTTGAATTTTTTGTTTTCACAGAACAATAGGTGACAATTTGCTTCATTGTACAAAGAAATGTAAAACCTGCTTAGTCCATTGACCATGGAGCCTGGTCTATTGATTAAATCAAACAATTTAATGAATTACTTATCAACCAAAGGATGATTATATATAGATAATAATAATGAACCATTGTCCAGAACTCCAAATACAGAAATGATTTTTTAAAAATAGAATATTATCATGCTTTCTGATCCTAATAGCACAGAAAATAATAAAGATCAATTAATTATGTAGTATCTTTTGTTTGTAAGTAAGAAAGATAAGAGCTTACATAATGGATGATTTCAAACATTAAGGAAAATATTGTTTTAGAACGGACTTGTGGCCTCTGGTCTCTAATTGAGAACTTCTGGAAACTGCACTCGATTTATAAACTGATTTTCTGGTAAAAGGCATTTGAACAAACTTCAGAGGGATATCCAAAAGCTGATACATGTTTACCTGCACTCCTGTAAATCAGGCCTCTCTATCCCCTTGGAAATCTTTAGCTTTTGCAATACGCCTATAACTTGTATGTGTTTACTTGCAGGTTACATTAGGCAACGTTTCCGCTGACCGACAGACTTGTCAAAGGCTGGCTTCCCGAGCATTATTACCAACATCACCTTCTGATAACAGAAAACACACCTCGACAGAGGTTGGGCAGTATCTCAGGGCAGGGAAGGTGACATCAGATTTTACTGAGAATTAGAAGTTGATTAAAGGTAAGATCAGTGGAAACAGCAAGGTAAGGATTTTGAGAGAAGGCATGAAAGAAGCTTGGGGTGAGTACTGTCGATCCTTTCCACTGAAGAGTTCATGAGTCTTTTGAAAGTCAGGTGAGACAGTCCTGGAAAAGTACCGTCGTTCTAAGGAAGACAGTGGGATGGCTAAGTTATGTGAGTGTAGACAGCAGGCAGTAGTAGCAGTTTTGTGTCCAGGTTGGGTGTGGAGCAGATGGTTTTGGTTCTCACACCTAAGAGAGAAGCTTCTCTGGGGCTGGGCATCTAAGCACCCCTTTACCACAGGCTTCAAGCTGCAGGCTGGTTCTGACCGGGTTAGGCTAATCCGGTTTCACTTGGGGATGGACTGTTGCTGCCATGAGCAAAATCAAACTTGTGCCAATAAGGAAGAGAGAGGGAATGGACACGGGTTAAGCAACTCGCTTTATTTCCTGTAACAGGTAGGGAGGGAGATTGATGGCCAGCAGAGAGGCCCTGCCTTCTTGAGACCATGGTTCCTTGGAGGCCAAGACCCGGGGCAAGGCTCTGCGTCAGCCGTTCTTTCCTCTAAGCTCAGGGCCCTGGCTCCTGGGTACCTTAGGGTCATACTCTGCTGACCTGTAGTCTCCTACAAGCAGGAATGTTCCATCATGATTCTGACCATTTGTTCCTTGGTCAGTCCAGCCTGGTGCTTATGGTTTTCTCCATCTCATCACATCTGATCTCATCTCATACCACTTTCTTCCTCTCTCGCCATACCCCAGGCACACTGCATTTTCCTGCCTCTCACACTTCATCTCAGTTCTGCCTCAGGGCCTTTGCACTTGCTGTGCATCTGGCCTGGACTGCCTTTGCTAGGGTTCTTCTCCTGTCTCCCACTGTTCGGGTTCCAGCTCCAATGTCACCTCTTCAAAGAGGCCTTTCCTGTCGGCTCCTTTGAAAGTGGCCTCTGCCCACAGGAATGCCCCAACCCATCACCTTCTTTGCATCTATCCCTCTCTGAAATGACCTTGTTCACTAGTTTACTTACTAACTGACCTCCACCTTAACTGGAATAGAAGCTTCATGAGAGTCCCATCTGTCTTCTTCACACCTGTAACCTCAGTTCTTAGAAAGGACACCAGATATAGTTATAATAAAACATTAGAAAATAATAACAGCTAACTTTTTATATTGGACCAGGCACTGTTTTTAAGACCCTCAATGTATTATTATCTATTTGCTCTTCCTAACAGACCTTATTATCCCACTTTTACTGAGGGACAAAGAAGTTAAATGAGATCATAGACTTCTGAGGTCCCAGAAATGGCATAAATTAAGTGCCCAACACATTTTTATTAAATTTAAAAAAATTAACCTTTGATTTTTTTGTTCTTGACTTCCATGTGCAGCTGACATGCACTGTTTGGTAGCACAGAAAAATCTCCTGGCACAGAGAGTTTATAGAGAGTGATGCTTCTCTGCCCCTGCCTTATGAATTTTTCAGCAGTGCTAGGTCACATTTCCTTCTAAGGTTTTAACGTGTGACGGTGGCATGTACATCACACACCTTAAATTACATAACAGAATGATCCATGACAAGCCCACACCACATCTTTAATTTTATCCATGATACACATCACACACATGTTAGAAGCTCTTTGATTAAGTTATAAATGCTTATCCTCAAAATGCATCTGTATTAGAAAATGTCACCTGCGACTTTCCACTCCATTCTCAACTAACAGCGCAGCCAAGCAAATAGCTATCTACAAACTCACTGTCCCATGCTAGTGTCTCATCCTACTTCCCTTTATCAGCATGACTTTAATTAGGATGGTCTCGCCCTGCTGCTCTGCAGGCTTCTATCTACCCACTGGGGTGCTATTTCCCTTGGAAATTCCCCTTTCCACACACTTTCCTCATCACCAGCGGTCTCACTGCTCTGATGTTGCCCGCCTGCATACCCACCTGCTTCCTCATTATCTCCAAGAGCTTATTCATGTAGCGGGAGACATCAAGGATCCAGCGCTTTCTTCTCCAAATGTTCGTTGGTGCCCACTGGCCATCACTCAGCAGGCCTGAGTGCTAAGGAAACATGAATGAGAAAGACGGACACGGTCTCTGCCCCTTGAAGCTTAGTCTCCTGGGGAATTAAAGACTAAGACTGATATCATGAGTATGATGAGTGAAAGTTACCGGGTGCTAGGAAGGTGGGTTATGGTGGCCTGATGCAATCTGGAAGAGTAAAGCACGGCTTCTCGGATCTTCTAGCGGAGCCCTGAGGATGATGGCAGTGAACTTGCTGGAGATGGGGGAGAGGTTCCAGGCAAAGGGAAGAGTGAGTGCAAAAGCCCTGAGGAGGGAGCCTGAGCATGCCACTTTTTTTTTTTTTTTTTTTTTTTGAGGTACGCGGGCCTCTCACTGTTGTGGCCTCTCCCGTTACGGAGCACAGGCTCCAGACGCGCAGGCTCAGCAGCCATGGCTCACGGGCGCAGCTGCTCCGCGGCATGTGGGATCTTCCCGGACCGGGGCACGAACCCGTGTGCCCTGCATCGGCAGGCGGACTCTCAACCACTGCGCCACCAGGGAAGCCCAGCATTCCACTTTTGAGGAAGTGATAAGAGGCAGAGTGAGGGAGCTCGGGGAGGAAGCAAAGAGCATTGAGAAACTAGATGGGCGGGAACCACACTGGGCAGGGCCTCGGGCTCCACGTTCCTGTTTCTGGACATATCCCATGAGCCATAGGAAGGTTTCGGAAACATTTAGGCGAAAGAGACTTGCTCTAATTTGTGTTAAAAAGATCACTTGGGAAAAAAAAAATATATATATATATATATATATATATCACTTTGGCTAAAGTGTGGAGGATAGATTAGATGAGCCCAGGTTTTTGTCTTGTGCTGTTTGCTGTGATAGGAACAGAGGAGGGAAGCTATTTGGGGAGAAAAAGTCACATTTCATGATTGATGTGACCAGCCCAAGATGCTTTTGAGGCATTCAAGTAGACGCACTGAGTACACAGGTGAATTTATATATTTGGAGTCCTAAGAGAGACCTGGGTTAAAGCTACAAATTTGAGATGGTGATTGAAGCCAGAGGTGTGGCTGAGATTGCCAAGGGAGACATAAAGAACAGAAAAGCAGGGGAACTAGGACCAGTCTTTGATGGATTATGACATTTAAAGTCTGGGTAGAGGAGGATTCATCGGCGAAGGAGACTGAGCAGGAATAACCCAGCAGGAGGAAAGCCAAGAGGGGGTTTTGTCCTGGAGGCTGAACTAGACTCTTTCAAATATTTCAAATACATGCTACTGAAGTCCATCTTCAATTGATTTAAGAAAAAAGGAAGGAGAAGCAGAAGAAGCATTTGTTGACTCTTATAACCTAAACTCAGGACTAGCCAGATGTGTCTGGATCCAAGTACTTAAACAGGTCCTCAGGAACGTGCCTCTCTCTCCATTGCTCAGTTCTTCGCTGAGTGGGTCATTCTGTGTGGTGGCCTGATCAGGTCACTGCCAGAAGCTTCAGGTTTACATCCTACCTAAGGTGAAGAAATCCTCTCTCTTTTATTGGTTTCCGCAAGACACCAGATATCACTCTTGTTGGTGCGGCTCAGGTTACATGTTAGTCTCTGAGCTGGAGGCTGGAATCAATCCTGCCCATAACTCGTGGCCAGAAAGTCCCTGAAAAGAAAATCAGGGTGCTGTTACCTGAAGAAGGCAGAGAAGCAAGGCAGACAAACCCCAGATGTCTATACAGATGCCACAGCGATGAGTATTCCAAAAAGGAGAATATATTCAATAGTATTAAATACTATTGAGAGATCAAGTAAGATGGCAACTAAAAACGCCCATGGGATTTAGCCAACTGGAGTCACTGTGACCTGAGACCCACACGAATAGCTCCATCATAAAGTGGGATGTGAGGAGTCGTCATGCAAGTAGAAACGGCCATATGAACTCAGCGGAGAAAAATCACTTAGAACTGAGGTAATCAAGGAAGACTTCATGTAAGAGGTGGCATTGGGCCCTAAAGGATGCGTAAAATTTTAAGAACTAAATCCAGAGAAGTGGAGGAAGGAAGGGCACCCCAACAAAATGTAGCATGAACAAAAGCATGGCAGCAGTGATGTTTCGGGTGTGTTCAATGAGGGTTGAACAGTTCATGTTTGGTCTGTGGATTAGGGACCAAAAGTGAATGCTAGCTAAGGAAAAGGGACTTTCTTTGTTCAGTTTACAAGTTATTCAACTACAACCAACATACCCTCAGGTTACTGGGCTGAGTATGTAAATGAGGGATGGCTGTCAATCTAATGGAGCTGACTCAGATCCCACCTGGAGAAAGGCCTCCATATACTCTTGCCTTTCCACCCAAGGGATGCCTGGGGTGTGTCACATGGGAACTCATCATTAAGCCTTGGTCTTTCCTGTGACTCTCTGAGTGGCCTGGGCTTGAAATGCTCTTGTCATTACTCATGGCTGCCTCTGTCATTCAGGTTACCACCTCCATTGTGAGGACTTGACTACCCTGCCTTCTCGCTGACTTCAGCGAAGGAATGGTTCTGTCAGATAATCGCATCTGTGACAGCAGCTCGGCTGTTTCTCATCTTGCACTTGCCCTGTTTCTCATCCTATCTTCCCTTCACTTTTTATCCCAGGAAGCTGGCGCTAGAAGGGAGGGTAGAGATGAGGAATTTTGGATGGAAGACCATTTAGGTGACTCTGCACTGTATATATTCACATATCCTCTAACCATTGTTCCCAGAACAAACATGTGCGTCCTGAATCTCTAGCCCCCGGGGTACGTCCTTTTCCTACCCAGCAACAGCTTGGGGGGTACTCGATCTTGGTGGCCAAAAGCCAGCACCAGGTCGTTTAGTCTGTATCTTGTTCTCAGGCTCTTAGGACTTTTCTGCAGCTCGGACCTCCGTGGGCCAGGCCCAGCTGTCCAGATAGAAAGACTGCACTAGTTAGAACTCAAGATTGATAGTTCCCTTACACACCACCACACAGCGATCCTTGACGCAGCATAAATAATAAAGTCTTGATAGGGGCCATTGAGGGCACTGAGCAAGGGAGTGCAATGCACAGACTGTGCTTAGAGAAGATTGCACGTGGCCGTGGTTTCCAATAGACTTGAGAGAGCAGATCTGAGAGCTGGTGAACTGTTAGGAGACTGATGGGTCCAGGGGAGACAAACCCTAAACTGGAGAGACTGAGGCAGATGTGGAAAGGTGGGGATGGGTTTTAGAAGCACTTCTTTGGGGGAAAACCATGGAAAGAAGAGAGAAAGAAAGAAGGAGGGAAGGAGGGAGGGAGGGAGGAAAAAGAACATTAAAATCTCTACAGGCCAGAACAGAGTAAGAAAACTAAGCATGGTGAGGAGGGCCTGGAAACCTAGGACATGAAGCCCACATTTTGGCAGAGGAGGTAGGGCTGGGAACAGGGTTCAGCTGACTCTGGGAGCCCAGGGCAGGGACCCAAGTGTGAACGTGTGCTGGATCTGCCATCCAGGATGGCAGTGAAGAGAGGCCCCTTGTCCAGAGGGTGAGGAGGAAGCAGATCCCTGCATGAGTGGGACCCATTTCGGTGCCACACGACGTCTCCCTGAAGACTCAAGTTGTCCATTGCAGTGCACAGGGCGCCATCTTTGGTTGGGGGCACCTGATGGGTTGATGCACAAGGGACAGCTCACTCGTAGTCACCTTGACCCAGGCTCCCTAGGGAGACCCTCCTCTGAGACTCTCTCTTCACTCCACTCCGACAGGCTCCTTGGCTTGCTATGTAGTCGCATCTCATTTTTCCTCTTGAGGGAACTCGGAACAGCTTTTCTGGAGGCCCCGAGAGTGTGGAGAGAGCCTCACTCATCCACTCAAGGTCAGACGTTTTGCATCATGAGGGGGATCGAATCTCTCTGGTTGTTCCAACTCCACTTTGCAGTGCGTGACAGAAGACCAGCCCCCAAGGGGGGATGTCTTGCTCCAGAAAGGGGACCCTTTCTCGTAGCCCTGCTCGCCAGCAGAATGCAGAACTGTCCTGAGTGAAAGCCTTCTGACTTCATGCCACACTTGAGGACCAGGGTGACGGGGTGGTGATTCATGGTTTGGGTCCAGAGCCTTCAGTGCCGGGGGGATGACAGGCCACAGCATTACTGCCCCAGCTCCCGGGAGACAGACCGGGCAGGGTTCCCTGTGATGGGTTTCTGAATCGCTACCACAAACAAACAAGCACACCACTAGACAAAACCTTGGTAATTAGAAGGGAAACATAATGACAGTGGAGTTACCTTTCTCCATTCATTCCGCAAGCATTTTTCTGAGTGTTTATTTTTGGCACAGTTATTTTAGGGGCGGGGAGAGCATGTGGGGAAGAGGAAGGGGAATTGCTTCAGTGTGGCAGCTCGGAAGGGGAGATGGATGGTGGGGCACGGGCAGTGTTAGCGTTTGGTCTGTGGAAGATGAAACAGTGCAGCTCTGCTCTGTGGGCAGCTCTTTGATCTTCCAGTAGCTGCTAGGGTAGCAATTAGCATCCTTAATGCTGAGGGGAGTCTGAGAAACCCTTTAGCCTGCTGATTTAGGTTAGTAGATCCAGAAGTGTGGGTGCCTGAAGGTGAGTGCATGTGTGTGTGTGTGTGTGTGTGTGTGTGTGTGACAGACAGAGAGAAATGGGTTTTTTAATTAGATGCTTCTTTTTTTTAATGTGAGACCTTAATAAAGTGCCTTAACTATGATCATCATCATCGTTTTCATCATCACTAAGGCCAGAGTCTTTTTTTTTTTTATGCATTCATTTGGTTGCATTGGGTCTTAGTTGTGGCAGGTGGGCTCCTTAGTTGTGGCCTGCGGGTTCCTTAGTTGTGGTTCGCCAGCTCCTTAGTTGTGGCAGGCATGTGGGATGTAGTTCCCAGACCAGGGATTGAACCTGGGCCCCCTGCCTTGGGAGCTCGGAGTCTTAACCACTGCGCCACCAAGGAAGTCCCAAATTAGATGTTTGATATTTATTTTGTAATAGAGCTTTCCATATTTGAGGGTGATGTGACACCCTCAAAATAAAATTCTGTTTTGTTGTTGAAAATTGAATCATCTGA